GTATATATGGAACCAATTTCTCACACACACACACATATATCCTATCCTAAATCAATTTTGAATACCGGTGTGAAGTCAATTTTGAATACCCTTGAGTTAGCAGCTTGTGTTGTCCACGTCCTAAATCGATATCCTAAATCAATTTTGAATAATAAGACCTTACTAGAAAGCATGGACTATATATCATGTTTTTACCTTAATTTTGATGCTAAAATCAATTAGAAGAACTAATATTATGCTAAGTTACGTAAAAAAATACTTTAGTCATAAACTTAGACCACTAAAGAGCCTTTATCGAGCTAGAAAGTTAGATGTTCTTCTAAACAATTATTATATTAAAAAATTATTATACCAAAAATTAGTCATCAAACTGAAGGATTAATTGATATGTTTGAGATTAGAGTTCATGCTAGAGACTTGGACATGAGGATCAAAAATCAATATTGGATGTCATGATAAAAATGATATATTGGAGGATTGGACAATGTGTCGATGGTTTGTGCAAAGTGTTACAAGATTAGATAAGAAGACAACATACTACAAAATTATTTATTATTTTAAAACCTTGTTTAAATTCAAATTGAGCTATGGTTAAGACTATAATTGGGCTTCAACTAAGCTAAATTTGTACTATATCAAGTTAAGGTTGAAGTGAATTAAATTTAACTAGAACATAGGCTAGAATTGAGCCCTTACTAGGCTAATATATGATCTAGGTAGTTGCACCATCTAGAGCATATGGTGATATCACCCAAGATGGTGAACAACACATTAGGGGTGTCGAAGATATTACTACTTGGAATGGTGGTAGTACCTTAGTACTATTGATTTCAGGTTTTTTTTCTAATTTACTTCATATTTTTGGATCCTTTGGGGAAATAAATATCCCACTTCAAGCAGAGAGGCATCTATCTAAAACTTTTATAGTGTTAAAATTCTCTTTAAGAGCTTTACTTGAGTTTTTTTCATCTTCATGAGTTTCTAATTGAGTTACTTAGTATACTAAGTGTGAGATTCTCGTAAAATTTTGAGTATCAAATGTAATATTCTTTTCCTGGGCCTTAAGAATAAGAAAGATGATACCCTCAAATTTTAAGCAATGAAGAGTGTTATTCTATCGTACATCCTTTTATGTTTAATAACATATATTACACTTATAGGAAAACATGAATATAATTCTTTATCTTTTATAGATTATGATTTATATTATATTATTGAATTTGGTTTTAAAAAATCAGTAAAACCTATGGATGAATGAGATGATCCTAAAAAATAAATATTTTATTTAATTGTTAAAACTAAAAATAGTTTATATTATGCTTTTGGTTGAAATGAATTTGATTAGGTTTCTAAATGTACAACTACTTTTGATATTTCACATACTTTATAAATCATTTATGAAAGCTCAAGTTTACTTGAGTATCATTTTAAATATTTTATAATAATACCAAAAGAATTCATTGGTGATATGTTTATCTTATATATATATATATATATATATATATATATATATATATATATATATATATTGCAAATAACCGAAATTGTAGTGAAAATCATTTTTCAGAAACACACTTAAAATCAGTCAAAACAAATAGAAACTAAAAAAAGAGCCAAATCTAAAAATATAAATAAATATTTTGGGTTGAGAAATTAAATCTGCAACATCTAAAAATATAAATAAATCTCTCTCTTCCCTAGCCCTAAAGATACATCTTGAGAAGTGTCATATTAGGAAGAGTCCTCTGATCACATGTGCCATTAAAGAATATGTAATACAGAAGGAAAGTTGAAGAGAGAACAATAGTTAAAGAGGCAAAGAACACTTTTTGAGTTTTTCCTCCCTCACATTCCATCATCAAGTCTCAAAACTAGAGCATGAATTCTATCACAAAGCCATCTAGACCACCTTATAGACACGACATCTTTTGTGAAGTCCATGAAGGAGCGATATAATCTACAAGGGATCCTAAATAGTCCACCAAGATGTGAGGAAGATACACACAACAAAAATTAAGCATGCAATTTTATCTACTACAAATCAAATGTTTGGTCCTTCATCCAACAAACAAATATAAAAATAACTTAATACAACCATGATATCTGAGTTCTAATTGATACTGATTAGTCAACTGGCGAACTTGAACGACCCATCAAACCTACAATTCTCTCTCAAGATATCACACAAACTAGTCTCTTCTCGAGACAGCACATGGCCTTATAGTAGAAAAGCATTTCAAGTTATTACCTCCACGAGCTTGATGGTTGGCTTGTCAACTTGGGCAAAGAAATTTCGGCTCTCGATATGTTTCATTCAAGCAAGCAAACCTTAATTTGAACACATCAAAATTCTAGTCATGGTTAACCATTGAATGAATCTTTTTGTATACATCGGCGACACCTTTATATGTATTTTTCAAACTTTAGTCATCTTTCTTGGAGACTGACATCATTTAGGGTGTCTCATAATCTTGGGAGCACGAGGGTTGGTAAAATAAGCTCAGCACCTTCTGTTCCATCTCAAACATTGTTGTTATGGTTGATATTAAGAAGATATCGAAAACAATATCTTATTATCCGTTTCCACGTCATACATATAATACTCAAAGAGATTAAAGGCCTTTTGCATGATCACAGTATAGAATAAGATAGCATTTTGAAGTTGAAAAAGCATAGGTGTATAATTATAATATTCACAAACGTTATATGTTTTTACATTTAAATTTGTATGCAAGTACATGTTAGAAGAATATTAGATAGTATACATGTAGTTACTGCTCGTGTATCTCTCTAATTAACCATGGTTATTGAAGATATCAAAAGAAAAGGAGAGAAGAAGAAAGAGAAGAATGTCGAAATCCTCATGCTATCTCTCTAAATTCTCACCGATGAATGAAATATGTCAAATATTTTAATTAGATGAACAAAAAGTTGGATAGTGGATGATTAAAACATAACACTAATGGATCATATTCTACATATTAATGTAATCGATTTACGAGATTTTTTCTTCATAATTCTGATGAACAATACATGACTCAAAGCTTCGGAGTGTGTGCACCCGATATAAAAGTGCAAAATGTATATAGAGAAAAAAAAAAACATGATAGCGAATTATATAGGAATATTTATATCCACATGTTGGTGGGCACTTTTATGATTGACTTGCTTAAATAATTAGATTTTTTTTACTAAAAAAAAGAAATGCCCATTGTTGATGGTGATGCATATCCACAGTGCTGCTTGTGACTAACTTAAATGACTGATAAACTACTAGTTAGCTTAGCTTGTAAGATACTCTCAGATCATCACAAGTTTCTAAGATCAAATCTTACCTTCACAATTTACCTTTGTAGAACAAAAAACAAAAGGAAAATTCTTGAACATTGATATCTGTACAGGGACACCAAACGGCCCAACTGGTCTTTGATCGATAGGAAGAAATCAATTTCGAATTTTCTTAACCACAAGAAATCATGAAATGATTGTAATGCCAACGTGTGGGTCATCCATCTGCTGACAAAAAGTTGATGGAGAAATGGCGGCGAGAACAGAAATATTAGGAGTGAGTCAACTGTAATGTATGATTATATTATTGAATATGATGGTGATTTCTAACCTCATGCTGTCAAGTACATAATACATTATAAAAGACAAAGGAAAGAAGTCTAACGGCGATCGGATGTTTCCCATGCAAAGCGAACAGTTCTGAGACATCCGAGTATAACTATCCATAAAGGACTCCAAAGAGCCCACATCCCGCCGATGGAAACTCATGCGTCTCCATTTTATTTTATTTTATTGTTTGTTTTTAACTATTTATTTATTTATTTTTGCTTGTTCTATTCATTTGTTTATTGTTTGCATCCTTGATCAATTTATTTATTTCTTGTTCGATACCATGAGAAATAGTCTTAATTAGACTGAGTAAGTGTCTTCGCTTTGTCAATAGACAAAGTAACTCTTTGTTTATTCGTGTGATCTCGATTTATTTATACTATAGTTTGTCTTACATTTGTTTATCATTTTTTTTTAGTATGTCCTTATTGGACTGTACAAAATTATGAAACGATTAAATTTTATGAACCGTAATATGGCACAGATATCATATAACGTAGACAAAAAAGTTTAAATATATGATAAAAAACCTTATAGATTCCAAGATGTTTAGTTTTTTCCCATATGTTTGAGGGATTGTTCGTGGAAAAGTCTTGAAAGCTATTTAAAAATGAAACAAAGGGAAGAAGCTTTCCTCCATCTCTTCGACTAAGGTTGTCAAGTATTTTTGGCTTCCGTAATATGAACCAAATCAATCAAAACTCAAGATATTTGGAAGATAAGGTGGATTTAGACTCTGCTATCTAAAAGTCTTTGTATGAGGGAGGTATAGAAAAAATACACTTACTTTGAATACTTATATGTGTTTCTATGGTAAATTAAAATTTTCCTTCATCATTTATATATTCTCTATGTGAGAGAATTTATGTCTTAAAAATATCCTTCATCATTTATGTGAGAGAATATATAAGAGAATGAAGGGTTGAATTAACTCAAAAAGAGTTTTTTTATACTTTATCGTTTTTATATAATAAAAGAGTTGGATTATTTTTCATGGACATAATCCACGTAAATTTGATAGACATTAATTTCTTGATTTGTACTCTACTGTTGATCATTTGAATTAATTTTTTTGGTATCACATCATCCCAATCATTGTTTGGCCATTATGGAGATGAAGAGAGTCTAACCTTACTGTGATCACTGTGGACTTTCCGTTGTGACTTCCTTTCTGCTTCTTGTTCTTCTTCTCAGCCACAGCCATCCACCCAACCCTTTTGATTTCTTCTCTTCCCTCTCCTTCCTATACTCCTTCCTTCTTCCTTGATGTAAGCACCCATTCGGTATCTTATATAATAAGCCCCTCCATTCCCCACCATCCTCAACTCATCATCATCATCATTATCATCTCTCTCTCTCTCTCTCTCTCTATATCCATCTATCTATCTATCTATCTACCTATCTGTCCATCTCCCTCTCTCTCAGACTTCATCAGTCCTAGGGAATACATGGCTCTACCACCGCGACAGTCACCAAGACTCGGCATGAAGGACAGTTCACATGCGATAACAAAGCCGAAGCCAGAGATCAGAATAATTCACGTATTCGAACCGGAGATCATGAAGACGGATGCTGCAAACTTCCGCGAGCTCGTACAGCGGCTCACCGGAAAGCCTGTCGCAGCAGTTGGTGGTAAGAAGAAGAAGGATAAGAAGTTAATCGACTCGAAGCATGACCGTGAGAAACTCACATGCAAGGAAGAAGTCAAGCAGGAGGACTTAGAAGAGGAGGAGAGGATGATAGAGAACACTTGTTGTACACAAGAAGAGATGGATGATTTTCTTCAAGTGCTCAGTGGATTCCCTTTGTCTTCTCCAAGCTCTTCTCGCATGGATGTGCTTGGAAATTAGACATGATTTATTTTGTGTTTTATTAATGGATTTTATATGCTTTTGATGGTTTAGAGGTGAGGTTTGAAGAACACAAAATGTAGTCCACTTTCTCTCAATATTATTTCTTTTCCATCTTATTTGGTGCTGTAAATATTGGCATGCTGATTAGTGGGTGTTGCAAATAAGGATGAAGATATAGAAGGTGTTGCAAATAAAGTTTGAAAAGGCTGTGATTTGTTGTTTGGCTTCCTTTTCTTTTTTTGCCTACCATTCTATGATAAGGATGCATGACCGGACTTTCAAATATATATATGTTAAGATTAATTTGATGATCTTATAAGATTTGATGAGGATTACAAAACATATTTTATGTTTATCACATTGAAGGTCTTCAAAAATAAACTCGATGGCCTTTACTACTCAAAATAGATTAAGGCTGGTTTGCTGCTTTATCCTAATTGAATGAGAAAAAAATATAAAATAAATGGTCCAAAATTTGGTGGGAGATGAGTGATCCTTAAATCTTATAAATTTGGCTTAGAATCCTCAAAAACTCAATAACTATCTTATCTTATTCCTTTCGGGTGTGCATCATAGATCCGTACAAATATTTGCAAGTTACTATAAACCGATCTTAAAACGGAGAAAGTGATTTAATAATTTTTTTTCCTTTCTTCATAAATTTTTTTACTTTCAAATTTTTTTAATATTTTCTTTATATTCATTTGAAATTTGCATTGGCGGTATTGATCTCGTCTTCATCATTATCCATGATCGCGTTTGTAGGAGAACAATATTCTCATCATATCTTAGAGTGGTTTTTCCATCAAACTCTAATGAATATGTCTTGAGACTAACAAGGAACCTTGAGTTTGTCTTTGAACTAATTTAAGAGAGAAAGTTCTATTACGTGCGCCTTATTATTCTTATACATCGGAGAATTTGAATGTTCACATCGAATGTTGGCGAGGAATGTCAAATCATATATTCATTATTCTAGATTTGTATTTTATTATTAATATTCTTGATTATTCTCTTACTATCAGTATTCTCTTAAATTAGTTCTTTATGAAGTGAAGTACATGCCTTAGTATTCTAGATCAGTATTCTCTATGACTCGTGCTCCAAGAAGTACAAGCTCTTCAGTTTCAACTTTGGTTTCACAAAGTTTGGACCAGCAAAATTTTCTTAGCTCCATTTCAAAATGGAGATATTATAGATGCCACGGATGGAAATGGGGTTGTCCATTTCCACAACCATTTGCTCTGATTCATCTAAAAACATAGAGCGATCAAATGGGGTTGTCCTGCTATTTATACGGGCCATGAATGACCCTTGGGCTACCTCGAGAATCATTCGGATGCCTAATGGTTTGATTGATTGATGCGATAGCAGCATGTGAATGACCAAGGATTATATGAGATCATCATTGCAAACTTTCATAACCCCTAATAGTTTAGCATATTAACACGTGGAAGTCATTGAGGAGATGACGTGTGAAAAGTGTTATATCAATATGATGTAACTACCAAAATGATATGCCTACTAGCAACAAAGGCGGTAATGAATTACTACCATATGACTAATTTACTTTTTCGATAAATTACTACTTTAAGTAATACATTTATGTCGAACGAATCGACATCTTGAATTCCAATAACATGGTTGAAACAGTCTGAAGCTCCTTTCAATAATAATAAGGCTGAAATGATTGAAAGTGTTCCTTTCAATAACGGTATGACCGAGATGATCCGAAGTGCTCCTTTCAATAACAATATGGTTAAAAAGACTCAAAATACTCTTTTTTTTATAGTAACATGATAAAAAATAGTACAGGATACTCCTCTTAACGATTATACTACTAAATCGACTTGATATGTTTCCTTTGATGATAGGACACTTCTCTCAATAGACAAGAGTTTCATCGTATCTCAACTTAGCTATACATGTCAAGGCACAAGGGCGGGCAAATGATATGGTAAGAATAACCTAGCCAACACTTACCACCTGACATCCTACCACCACATGATCAACAAATTGGTCAAAAACTCTTATAATAAACTCCACATCACATGACTAACCAAGGTGTTGTTCCTCTTAAGAGTTATAGCCACAACCACAACCATTACATTAATGCACAATGTTGTGCAATCATTCCAAACATTAATATATAATTTCAAGCATAATGTTCCTACAATCTCATTATATTATTTATTTTTTATTGTGTTCCTCCTTTGATTAAAATTTTCAAGTTCTAGAATGTTTCATGTTGAGGGATTCGACACTCAACCAACACTTCATAATCAAAACTTTTAAGTATTAAATGAGTTTTGTCGGATTTACCCCATATATGGTTTAATACTTTTTTATTCAAGAAAATTTGACACTTCCTAATACTAGTCAAATGAATGTAAAGTGGGATAACTAGAATCTACATTAACAAAATTAAATTCTTAATCAACATATGTTTCTAATTTAATTTTTTTCTTAGAACTCCAAGTCAACTTCTTGTGTATACTTGCAAATTTAAGGTGTTTGTGAAGATATCTATCACTTATATAGTACTTCATTTTGATCATTTTATGTTTACCACTCGATATCTGAAA